CTGGGGGGGAACAGTGTGAAACATGCACATCCTCCCCCAGCCACTGGGATTGTGGAGTAAACCTTGAGGTTTGGCAGGGTTGGGAGGAGGGAGAAGTGCAGCGAACATTGATCATCTGGCTTGTAAACTGCTTGGTCTCAGGGTTTGGGTTGGAGTCCCCGGCCTCCTTTGGTTTGGCCCCTTCCTGAGGCACAGAATTAACAAGAGAGAAGCAAGGGCAGGAGGCAGCTAAAGCCAAGAGCCTGTTCCACTGTGTCAGCCCCCTCCCAGGAGCCATGAAACCCTCTCTCAGTTCCTACCCCAGAAACACTCTTGGCTTAATGGTTCCTGTCCTGTGACAACTCTTGGTGCAGCCTCAGAACTCAGCCGTGTTAGCTGACCAGTCAGAGAGATGCCAAACAGAGCTCTCCCCTGCCTGCAGGCACCATGTTCTCAGGGACTCTGGGCACAGACAGGACCCTGCGAGAGGAAACAGCCTTTGGGAAAGGCCCTTCTGCCCCCAACTGTGGGGCACAGAGCTCAGTGCTCTGCCTTGTGCCTGCCATTACGTCTCCTTTGCCTTGTCTCCAGATTTCTATTGGATTTCTAGTCTGACGCCTTAACTACTCGGCCACCACAGCTGTGAGCTCGGAACCACTCCCTCCCCAAGGCCTGAGGCAGTGAGACACAAGGCCCAGAATTGTGTGTCTCACCCTTGCCCTGTGGCTAAATTGCAGAGTTTGTGAAGTGAGAAACAATAAAAAATAAATCTCCCCCTCCTACATGGCTAAATTGCAGAGTTTGTAAAGTGAGAAACAATAAAAAATAAATCTCCTCAGGCCCTTTCCATGCCTTGAATATTCCTGTAGCTGTACAGTGGAATCGCCAAACGATGCTCAAACAACTGTTAGCGCAGCTTAAGGCCTGCACAGCCCAAGAAATCTGATTGGCAGCCAATTGTAGTGTGGGGCCCTGAAGGCACTGACCCAGGCAACCTCCTTGATCACCTTGTCCTAAGGCCGGGCCTGCAGCCAGGAGGAAGGGAAAAGAATCTCTCTTTTGAGCCAGAGTCAAACCAGCCACCTAAGAACACTTGCTGAGCACCCGCACTCTTCCAGCTGAACTATTGAAGGGAGTCTGGGGGTTGCTGCTT